CAACAATAATAGCCGTCTTAATCCTAAACTTAAGTGGCCACATGTCGTTATATCATCAGATCGTCGTGACATGAGTATGTTATACGAATGGAGAGAATAATTGAACTATTCATACGAGTTAACACGCTTAGACATGTAGATACATTATTTTTCATAGACTAACGTCTAGTTAAACCATCCCAATGAAATTGTATTTGCACTAGACAATTCAACTCTAGGACTGTACATCAGCAGTTATATGATTTACAAGTAGGCGTATTCAAAATGGTAGTATTAGTAAACTTTAGATTAATTCTATATATATATATATATAGCATACTTTTAATGTCTTAGACTTGGGGATCTCTTTATATTCTAAAATCTGGATTATCTGCTACAATTTCAGAAAACATAATATATGAATCGGGTTGAAATGACATCGAGAAAGAAGCCATTAACAAATAACAATATGTATCCTATGGACTATAGGCCCGGTGTGAAAGAAATGATGGTCCCCTTGAGATTATGGTCCCTTTTCCTTACGGCCCTTACTGGCCCTGACCGTGTATGAATAATAAGGAAAATGTATGCCTCAGCTTATTAAACCACTTTTAAATGTCCTAGACATATAATCAATATAAACAAATTATTGTCAACTCCTTGAAGAAGTACAGATATTCATGTCATAATTTGTATACACTGCCATCAATAATTGACCTGCCGTTTGGGAGCGTTACAAGGGCGGTCGAAACTGTTGTTTTTGAATTTAAATTAACATTTATCTTGCTCAGTATCGACCTTTCGAGTCAAATCTTTGATGTCTGGAAGTGTTCGGAATCCCAATCTTTTAAAGATCTTTCAACGAAGTTAAATAAGTTATTGAACTATCTTACGTCTATATTAAGTTTATTTTGTATCGCTTCTATTTAGCGTTTGGATTTTAACGTGCACTCTGTCGTACGACTTACATTTATCAACTTCTTATAGGCCCCCTCACATCAGAACGAATCCACTAAACGCAGTCTTGCGGATCGGAGAACTTGTTAATTCTGGCGATTGGCAACGTAAACATGTGAACCGAAGCGCATCCTTGCGCATACTTCCGAAGCCGTCCGACGCTTTCCGAAGGGATATTTACACATACGAGAACACCCCAACGACGTACAACGTACATTTACTAATGGGAACGAATTTTACTCAAATCCTATTCGCAAGACTGTTTTTGGTGGATTCGTTCCCCCGACTCGTTCATATGTGAAAGTCTGTCTATCTGAAAAGGTGAGCCCAGAGGGTAAGAAATGATTTGAAATTAAGAATTAATTAAGTTAAGAAAACAGTTTTACATTTTTTTGATTCCATCATTCAATGTCATGCCTGTTTTTTAAATATCAACCATAATTTCATGAATGTTGTCTGATAAATAATTCGTCCGTCTGTTCGTTTGTTAAATCATCTGTCCGGGCGATATCTCAAATACACGTGGCGGAGTGGGTTCAAATTTAATAGGTACTATAAGTAGGCTATTGGTGCACACTCCCGTTTCACAGGAAACAATGAAATGTGACGTTATAAAAAATATTTTCGCAATTTGACGAACATTCGACGACGTCATTATTCCTTCGAAATTCACTGAAACCATGTACATAAAATTATGAAAATGACACATTACATTTTTATTACCTACATTCTATCTAAGGAATGCATCGATGAAAAAGGTATATAAAAAAAACCAATCAAAACATCGATTTAAAATTGAATAAACATGGAAACCAAGACAAATATTCTGAACTTTAAAATTGAAAACTTTGTACTAATGTTCCATTTTTATGAATTTATATGCAAATCCTACAAGATATAATCATTATTAATATCAATAGATAATCATTACATCAAAATGACATGTGCATCTTTATTTCAAATGAGAATTCATCATGCTTGAAAGTTATGATTTGTTGAGAATTTGTTCTGATAACTTTTAATGCGGGACTCATCAATCGCTTTTACGTTTTCTCGCGTATTAGAACCTATAGCGCGGAAATTTCTCTATTCTTTAAGACTCAAAGAATACGGTATATGTCCATGAAGAAGTATGGTTTACCCTATCATTTGGTACCAATGTAATATATAGAACATGCGCAGGCAAGTAAAAAAGCTATCCAATTATTTCAATAAAATCTGTCCTCGCTAATTCCGATGAAAAGGGACACAAAGTCCCCATTTTGAGTGTAAAATGACGTCAAAACGGTCTAGGCACATTTAGTTAAGACTTAGGTATCATTCATTTTAAAAGGTGAAAAACTGAAATAGAGTCTCTAATTTTTTAATACATTATAATCACCTGATGCGCAGCTGAGAAAAATATTTTTTTAGGACTCAAAATATTAAAATACTCACACTCGCACAGATTAAAAATGCCCAATTGATTTTAACGGGGATTTTTATCACGAAGGCTTCACTTGCACATTTTTCAATATTTTATAGAATTTACGAGGTTTATATGACCATCAGGTCATCAAATAACCTTTTTTGTAGAACAAACATCTTCTTAATTGTTGACCATAAGAATTTGAGATGATTCATTGCAATACAAAAAACTTAGATGGCTTAGAACATATCTATCGTGGTAAAAAATGGCGTAATTTTGACGAGGCTTCACTCCTAATATTCGTACAAAATCCATCGTGGCAGATACGCTTACATCTGAATCACTGATAAGTATAGTTTCAGTATGTTCGTGAGACTTTTCTGGATCTAACACTATAACAACTGTATGACAAACTGCTATATAACTCACAAAATCTACATTTAAGTACCATACGCAGGCTGAATAAGTCAGAGTTGAACACGAGTCACTCACAATTACGATCACGACAATAGCTATTGTGACGTCATACGCTGTTCGTTATTTGTAAATATTTATGCATAGAATCGATGATCCATTAAATTGGGTATTATCCTGAAAATATCATAAACATTGATGGAATAGTTAAAAAGATATATACTATTACATACTACATGGCCATTTCGTTTCGTTCCTCCTTGTAACGTTGAACACACCTTTTATTCAATAGAGAGCTATTTCGAAGGGCTGTGAATTGAATAACCATAGAGGATATTTCAAAAAATTCAGTTCGAATAATTGCCTTATAAAATAGCAAGAAGAATATATAAAAATTATTATAAATTATGTCGAAATACATGTTAAACGAAGACCGAGATCTTTATAGACGTCTTAATTATATTGGCGATTTCAAATGTGTACCAATAGCGTACTTATAGTAAGGGTGATTCATAGACACAGGACTCTGCTCAAGAAGAGGGATTTCCAAGATGGCCACGAAATACAAAATGACATAGGACTCTGCTCTAGAAGGATTTTTTTCAAGATGGCTGCAAAATTCAAAATGGCCACCATTTTTTTAAAAAGTGTTCATAACCCAAGTACCAGTTGTCAGTTTTTGTTTTATTTTTGTAGACACATTTAATTCTTGTCGAGAAGAAACGTTTTAGTCGACTTCTGAATTCAAAATTGCTGACATTTTTCAGGAGAGAGTTACGTTGACGATCTTCATGAGTATTGTCACATTGGCAATATTCATGAAGATCGTCAACGTAACAAAAGCGAGGGACTAAATATGTATATTGCGTCTTCGTTAATATACCAAACATAGAACCGCCTGCATATTCTCAAACTAGACTATCTTCCTTAACTTTGAGCCAAATTATTGTCCACAACTTGATTTATAGTGGTGTAGAATCGAGAAATAAAATCTTACCGAAAACGAAGCCCGGAAGTTCTTCCATCTTGTTACGCTGACGTATCGTCAGCGTAGGTGAGTACCAGTGATAATTCTTCCGTACTTTTCAGCAATAACAAGCATTGACAAAGACTGTTTTTAGAATGTACAGGTTTCCTTTGTGTATGTAATCTTCCTTATTAGACGCATATTAACCAGAATACATAAAGAACCAGAGCACAGATCTAAAAAAATAATTAAAAACGTATTAGAAAAATCGTCCATATTTGCATTTAATCATTTCCAGTAGTTCCGGGTTGGACGAGAATATCTACAGCTAATCAAACAAACTCGCGGATCGTTTATCTGCCACGATGACGACTACTTGCCAATTGTCAAAGGAAAACTCATAAACAAAGGTAGCTTGGGGGAGATTCCCTAGAGGGGGGTCACTAGGGGTCGGGGTCCATCCGACATACCTGTATCATATCTAAACTGTATCTTTGATCGATTGATGTGGAATGTTAGGAAAACTCGAGATTCTCAAAGTCCCCTCCCGATTTACGAAACAAAACCTTTATTTCCAGGTAACCTATAACATCTTTAATCTGCAAATACAACATCCTGTCAGGTATTTTTCAAAGTACCTAAAGACGTATTTTAGTTTCCCTGAGACTTTTTTTTATCATAAATGATTTATGATTGAACCCTTCTCCCGTGATTATTATAAACCGATTGATATTTGCATTGATGAATTATCGTTGATAATATCGTATTTTAATTCAATGAACACAACATTGATATAAAATACATTACATTTCTGGTTTTTGATTTATCTTACTCAGACATAATAATGTAAGACCAAGAAACATAAAGAAATTGAGAACTGAATATGCCACAATTACTTTACATCAGCAAACAAGATTTACAATATCATTTTGTTGAAGAATTCCATCGGAGATAGTTTGCGCTCAAATTGCCAATTGGAATTGGAATAATTATACATATATAACAGGAATTCATCATTCAGTTACAAGTGATTGTGACAGGTTTTGAACCTGTTTCGTAAAACCTAGAATTAAGCAAGATTACCGAGACAACATATTACATTGGTCACCATCGTAAATATAAAAAATAAACGAGAAAACAACGTGGCCAGTGAATATTTTCACACAAATGAACCGAGTAGGGATTTCAATAATTATAATGTAGAAGAATCTAGAAAATTAGTTTGCCATTTTAGATACACCTTTGAAAATATGCACGAATAGACACATTTATTTGTGCAGGGATGAATGAAGTATAAATACGAATTCTCTCGACAACCAGGCGGAAAAAGTGAGATGAGGAACCCCGCCGTACACTTTAAAGATTCGGAATAAGACTCGAGTGCTCTCGTTTATTCTAAACTTCGAGTCGATTGAAGTAACGTTTGATTTTGCGCATTAAGATGTAAAGAGTCAGTGTATCGAAGAGGACAAAAAAGGAATATTATCTAAAACAGGGAACTAGCACAAAGTAAAGAGGCAAAGTTTCTGAAGTTAGAAGAAAATATTTCAGACGTTCGCAAAAGATCTTCAACCTTGAATATACAACACAAATAAAATGAAGATTGTAACTTTTGTTTTAGTGATGTTTATGTGCGTTTACGGGGAAAATACGACTGCCGTTTTAAATGCCACAGAAAACCCTATTGCAAACAACACGACATTACTAACTGCAACTGTGGCGTCACAAGCTGTAGGAATTGTCAACGCGGGCAACTCTTCTACCAGCGCAAACACAAACGACCCTTACGCAAAGAACAAGACACACAGCAGTGAATATAATGCATCTACTACTGGGCCCGACATAATAACTCAGCCGGGAAACTATGATGTCATTCATGTCCTCGATAAGAACAACGAATCCTTCATTTGTATACGTAAAAATGCGACAAATGAGATTGAGACTTTAGAAACAACGACAAGTTCAAATGACATGACCACTGCATTTTCCGAAAATACCAGCATTTACACCGAGAACTCAATATTATCCAATCCCAACTGGACGTGTACACCAAATAAAACTGATGACTACTATTATGACGAGTATGCCTATTTTAACTATCCAGAGTATATAGCCGGAAAGGCTTTATTTCAATATCTTTCCCCAGTTGTCCTAATAGTTGGAGTTGTTTTCAACATTTTGAACTTCGTTGTCTTGACGTGTACTAACATGAGGAAGACAAGTGCTAGTTTATATCTAGCTGTACTGGCCATTTGTGACAATATTAATCTCTTAATGACTCTCACTAATCATTGGCTTATTCAATTATTTAATATTGAATACCGTAAAACAAATGACGCACTTTGTCGAATTTCTTTATTCCTTGCATACTTTCTAGCGCATTTGTCCGCCTGGTTGTTAGTTGCAGTGACCGCAGAAAGGGTCGTGACTGTTATGTTCCCGATGCGAGCTCGAGACTGGTGTACTTTGAAAACAGCGACGATAAATATTCTGATCTTAACAGCGGTCATATTTGTCTTGAATATGCATATTTTCTTCGTTTCCGGCTCTGGAATTATAATGTGGAACGGCGAGTTATGGCCCGTCAGCTGTTATTCCTACAACGATGATAAACACTTCAACTGGAAACAAAATATTTGGCCGTGGATTGATTTTGCGTTTGCAGCTTTTATTCCTTTCACCTTGATCTTAATCTGCAATATTATCATTATATCCGTTGTTACGAAGGCACACCAGAGACGCAGAGCTAATATGAACGTCCAAGACGAAAGGGATGACGCAACTAGATCGATGACGATAATGCTTATTGCAGTCAGTTTGACTTTCGTGATTTTGACCCTCCCCATTACCATTTATTACATCCTGGACGCACAAATTACTGGCGATAACCCATACGAAAGCCATCAGCACGTCGCAGACATGAGACTCTTTCGTAGCTTGGCTACACAATTGTTTTTCATCAACTGTGGAATAAACTTTTTGCTTTATTGTATCACTGGAAAACGTTACCGAACCGAGTTGGTAAAACTGTTTTGCTGCAGGAGAGTGGAAAAGCGTCACGCACCACGTACGACGGGCGCCACGTATATTACGTCAGACACTAAAAGTGCTTCGCAGGTTACGTCATTTACAACAATTGAAAATAAAACGGCGGTATCCTTGGTTGAAAATGGCGGGGCTCCACAAAACAACAGTGATGCCAATAAAGATGAAAGTACGAAATTCTAAAACAGTTAACGATAATATCGTATATTTGGACACCAAGTACATAAGAAGCAACATATAGTAATAAAACAAGATTATATTAACATTTACTATTGCACACTTATAAACATATATCCGATCACCTTGTCATTAGATGACCAAATGCATAGAGAGCACAAATATGATCTTAATCGAGTAAAACGGGTTAAGTACATTTTTAAAGAAAGAACGACCTTTGCAAACGGTAGTATCAAATCATGAAATTATAGCCACTTAATTGTCATGTGTTTTGATAATAACAGTCATTTATCCCAAGGGAGCTATACACATAACTTAAGGATACCCTAAAATGTATATACATAGTTATAGTCCAGTAGTATATTTTATTTCATTTGGGGCTCACATATGTACCCCTCGTATGTGGACATGTCTAATATATATTCATTTAGTATTTCTCGAAATGAATGAACTAATAATGTAAGGTAACATCATCATTGTTATATACGTATTTATGTTACGAATAACATCCTTTTTTGTTGTATTTACGTCAGCAAATGGCTGTCCTCATATATTCCACGTCAATGACTGCCACACTATGATGCAGTTATCTCAGCTGATCATCCGCGGTGACTGAGCGCGATGATTTAGGCGTTCTCTCTTACATTATTCAGGCTGTATTTTTGTATGCCCGTGGTGCTAGTGAATTTTAATGAGTTTTCGGCCCAGATGTCACTAAAAAGAACAATAAGCCCTGTAGTGCAAATCACATGTTCATGTGATTTCAACAATAATATTTCATCCAAGGGCACTTACACTTACATAGTACTTTTGAAAGGTTTATTGCAATGGAACTCCTGTGTTGCACTAGCAACTAGGCGACGCGGTTGACACACGTGGTTAGCCGACAAGATCGACACATTATAATTAGCGGTGTAAGTGTGCTTGGATGTGCTGTTTTTGTTGAAAACGTGTGCGCATGTTATTTGCAACGCAGGGGCTCATTGTTCGTTTCCATGATACCTATGGGTAAAACTTATTAGATATTATGCAACATACATGGACTTGCGCCACGGGCAATTAAAAAAGCAGTCTAATTCATTCCAAACATACATAGTGCCACCTTACAATATGTTGAAGTTCGCTCATATGAATAGCACTTTGCTTGCTATCTGCACGTACTGTCACCCACAAACGCGATTGGCAGTACCATCAGGAAGTATTTTTACATATAATTTGCAGGCCTCCTAGACTTCCACCAACGAATGGTGGTTTGCGACTAAAGATGTCACCTTCGCGATGTGAGAATCGTGGTTTGAGTGCAAGGAACGTAGTTTGCGAGGTCAGAAGTAATGTTCGCGTTGGTAGAAGTCTAGAAGGCCTGCTTTTCTATGTGTATACAGTTACAGTGTAGTAAAGGAAATGAACTAATGAAATGTTTAGAGCCCAAAGTGCAAAATAAATATTTTATTTTTTATTTGTCAAATGAATCTTTTACGATGTTGTTAGTCCCTCGTGCCATTGGCGTAGCATATTTGTAAGTAATTCAATAGAATAACGTTATTTTTATGATACGACCTAAAGCTGTTGCTTAAGTCTTTTAAATGTAATTTGACGTTTACTTCATCAGTCCGGTGTAAAAGAAATTATGATCGGATCCCATTGGGATTATGGTCCCCTTTCCTAACAGCCCTTACTTTTGTATTCTAACTATGTCATACATCATTATCATCCGTCCGTGGAAGTATTGGAGCGCTGAAGTACTTCCTTTTCGATGAAGACTTGTAATTGTTAGTCGAGTGAATGTTTTTACCGCCAAATTCCAATATGGCGTTTTCTGCTCGGACGTTTTCGTAAATCTCCGGAGGTTGTCCGAAACTAACTCATTCTCGAAACTCATTTCGTTCGTTGTGTATCTCGCTCCTAGTAAACCGCCATATTTGAAATTGGTCGATTAAAACATTCACTGGTGAATAATTTATAGTCTTGATCGAAAAAAGAAGTATTTCAGCACTCCAATACTTGCACGGATTGATAATACTGAATGTAAGACACAGTTAGAGACCAAAAGTAAGCCGCGGAAATGTTTATTGATGTTTTAAAGGTCACTATTATTATTGGGTTGAACCGAGTACATTGCCCTTCTGTTACCATAGCAACCATTATTCAGTAACCAATGATAGTTGAGATACAATATTTACTCAATATTAGCACAAATGTATGTTCTATATATGTACCAAATATCAAGAAACAATTCCTCAAAATGACAAAGTTAAAGATAAATAAACATAACTTTTTGACTGACCTAAGTGATTGATGAATAGGTCAATTACAGAGTGCAGAGTTTAAGGCTAGTTTAGTTGTAGGTGAAGGGCGTAATATCAATGTAGTCAATTAATTCTTTACAGCAGGCAAATATCATCTATGGCAACTGTTAATGATACAGGTGAAGGTTTAACCTATGCTTAGGGCACCTTCCAAATAATAATCGAATATAGTCGGAGTATGAGCAAAGTCCCATTGCATACAATGTAGCCCCCGATATCCGCGGAAGGGACTACTGATGATGTATCTCGATAGCCAGTATTGATGAGCATATTGTGTTTTATTTATGCGATATTTCGCCGTGCATACAAAAGAGCACAATCTTTGTTTTTTCGTATAGCTACACGTTATAAACTTATGAAGTTTGCCGTTTCGCAAAATATACACTAAATACGTAGGGAAATGTATATTTCATCGATCAATTCTAATGTTCATTTCACCAAGAATTATTTTGTACGTTTTATCATCAGTTATGAGAGACCCCCACGCTCCCTACTTAGTAAAATAACCCCAGCTACACCAAACTAGTTTTCATAACGTTCTCGAAGCGTGTTGCAGAACAGTCTAGAACTGTTTGTTTCTATATTAATACAAACAAATCTAATCCAATTTTTCTTAGAACAGTACAAGTAGCAACACCGGGTGTGCATGAGGGTAACATACATACAACATACATCAGTTTATGTCGCATAAATAAACGGGTTTACTGTAACAGTCTTTAATATTTTCTAAAACATGAACTTTCGAACAATTGGGTGACTTAACAGATCGATGTTTTCCCCCAAAAATCCAAGGTATATTTCATTTATATCTTAAACGCTTCTGCAACTTATCGGTCAATTGGATGACTTGGGAACAGATCGATGTTTTTTCGATAGTAATTGTGTTGTATTCTATATTTACGTGTACAACCCAGGGAGAACGAACACGCAATTGTTTAGCGAGCCTGGATCGTTAGCCTAACCAATCAACTTATAATATGCGACGTATTCTCTGACTGACAATTATTCAAAAATAACTAAAATGCGGTAATTTTCATAATAACCCACTAACTAAAAACGATATGCACACATATGGGGTTTATGTATCCCAGCTTATTAGATATACAGGGTGACCGGAAAAAAAGGAGACCATTGAAGTAATCAATTTCTCCTAAACTAGACAAGTGCCATCAATGAAATTTTGCATACACTGGAACAGTTATATGGAAATTTGTTACTGAAGGTTTCAATACAAGCATTCAACTGGTTCAGGAGCTATGATCATTTACATAACATGCTCCAAATAGGCACAATTGAGACCAACGCAGAGTTGGATTCATATGGCAAACTACCCTTACATGTTCTGCCCTCTATGGCATTATTATGGCATTACATATAGCAGTGATTGCCTTCTTTAGGTCAACAATAGTCTGAGGAGTGTTTTGGTATAGATTGTCTTTCAAATATCCATACAAAAAGAAATCAGCAGGATTCAAGTCTAGGCTGTAATGGCAATGAAGGGTTATCTGACATGTGGTTCATCATCCTGTTGCCAAAGTGCTGATTTACCCAATCTTAAGAGTCACTTTAAGTATTGGGCATAGTGCCATGTTACTAAAACCACTATATGGCACAATTAAATCCCATATGGAAACCAAGGGCTGCCCAAAACCTCCTTAGGATGATACTGTAACTGAGTGGGACCACTGAGTCAGAAGCCATAGGTCAGATAAGCTTCGTCTCCATACACCTCAAATTTGAATCCACTTGATTTCTTTTTGTGGGGCAATTTGAAAGACAATGTGTACCAAAACAATCCTGAGACAATTGCTGACCTAAAGGTGGCAATAAATGCTAAATGTAATGCCATAACAAGGTCGGAATATGTAAGGGTATTTGCCAAATGTATCCAGCTCTGCGTTGGTCTCAATTGCGCCTATTTGGAGCATGTTATGTAAATGATCATAGCTCCTGAACCAGTTGACTGCTTGTATTGACACTTTCAGGAACAAATTTCCATAGAACTGTCCTGATGTATGCAAAATTTCATTGATGTCACTAGTCTATTTTAGGAGATATTGCCTATTTCAATGGTCTCCTTTTTTCCGGTCACCCTGTAGTAGGGCGTGTTCAAAATATCTAGATTTCAAATCAAGACACCATATTTTAGAGATCAAGCTGTTAGGTCAAGGTTATACTTGTAAAAAACTTAAGAAATCCTTTTTGGGCTTTGCTGAAAAGTACAAGTCTTTAATTTTGAAATTTCACTTTTTTCCACTTGAGATGCCGAAGGATGTAGGAATGGTATAATAAATTGGCAATGAACTCACACTTTTTTCACTTGGCACCTTTTGAGGTGGATCCCGGCTATGGCATAAATGGTTGAGAAATAGGGATCGAAACCAGCCATAGTTTTCTCCTGATGACCATTGTGAATTGTTGTGTTTTATGGATCATGATGACGGCTTTGCGAACGGATGTTGACCCTTTGAATTGCCTATAAACTTCTAGACTGGATTTTATCTATCCCACATCATTTGAGACTGGATACTCTATCTTTTATGAGTACTAGTATCTACAACTAGTTTTGATGTTATGAGTATTGTGGCAATCAATTTTTCAATTTTTCTTCAACATGTAATGTAATGACTTCAGTAAGAATGAAATGTCCCTTGGTGTTCTGGTCCTGGATTGTGATATTGGTTCCCGATTGGAGGGGGGGGGGGATGTTAGACATTGTTTCTTTTCACGTTAGATCATGGTTTTGGGATATATAGGGTCTACTTTTCTTATGACAGATTTACACTTATAGTTTGCTTTTCTTGTTGGGTTTCTTTAAAGTTGTTAGTCACCCTTCCCTTTGGCATTTGCGCTTGAACATTTGTACTTAAATGTAATCACGTGCATGTACATGTACATTGTA